TGGCTCAGAAGCTGTGCCAGCTCTGTATTCTTCAGGGCTGGAGGGTTGGAGGCCCAGGAAAAGCAAGCGGCAGCATGCAGGTTAAACATGACCCTACACCTGTTCTTGTAAATGACGTTTTATTGGACACAGCCATAACCATGGGCAATTTATAGTTGGTTATAGAGACATTCACTCCAATAGCACCATTGAATAGTTGTGAGAGGCCATATGGCTTTCAAAGGTTAAAACATTTACTACCAGTATTTATGGAAAAGTTTGACAACCTCTGCCTTAGCAGGAGGGAGGGGTAGGGGCAGGGTGTGGGACGCCAGACTTGGAATCCCCATGGGGACTAAACAAAAACTTTGGAATCCTGATTAAAACTGAGCTCCGGAACAGACCCTGAAGCTGGCACCTGGCCCTCTAAATTATCAGCTTTTTTGAATCTGTTACCCAGGAGGTCTCCAAGATGCAAAGGAATCAGTTCACTTACTTTAGCTCCCCTGTTCTATAGATGAAGAAGCTGAGGCATTTGTGATCTGTTGGAGTAACCATTGTCTGTATAGAGCGGGAACAACCCACACAGTTCACAGAGAATTACCAAGCAGAGCACAGCTGAGCCCACACTCTTCCACAGAGGCAGCCTCAGGAAAGGGCCAGAAGTGGCCAATTTTGCTAATTGACTGAGAAAGCCTAGGCAAAGCATCCAGGCCATGCCAGGTGAGGGTGGTGAGGACGGGGCCCTTGTCTTTTTGCGCCCTCTGTTGGTTTACAACTTGGTAAGTGCCCTGCTGGACCTGGGAAGGGTAGAGAAGGAAGTGACTCAGCTGTGCCTGTTTGTTTGCGTGTGCGTGTGTGTTCAGTCAGTCACTTTCAGAGCTAAGTCCATTTACATATGGTACCTCTCACAACACTGCCATCCTGAAGCAATCTACCACTTTCTGTCCATTTACTTTCAGCCATTCTTGAAGTTCTACTCAGTGGTACACTACAGTGATCATAGACCCATCCCCCAGTTAAAAAAGCAACACATCAAATTAGAGGGAACTTCTGGCATCAAGGAGCAAGAGAGCTTAGCAGTGAATGTTGAATTAACAAACAGCCTAAAAGAACAGAGTTGGAATGCTTGGGTGGTTTGTAGACACTGTAAGGCAGAGAACTCGATGCTTCCTATGTCATACAATGACAGGTTTTCTTTTTCTGACTTAAGGAAAATACCAGTAAAGCATGTGGTCCAAAGCAAGATCTCTCTGTTTTAGAAGAGCCAGGATGGATGGATGTGTGTGTGTGTGTGTGTGTGTGTGTACAATTGTATACAGTGTATATGTAGTACGTTTGTACCTGTGTGTGGAACATTCCTGGTTCTCCCTGCCTGAGAGAGAAAAGGCTCCTCGGCAGCCCACACTGGGGAGCAAGGTTACAGGAAGCCCCTCACCACCTGAGCCGTGGCACAGCTAGCTTTTGCCATTAACGCAGACAAAAAGGGCCTGCTCCAAGCCTGTTTGGCAGAGTGCCTCCTGGCCCCAGCTTCAGCAGCATCTGAACTTGCATCTTAAGTTTGCTCTTGCCACAAGAATTCAGCCTGCGCCTCCCATCACTCAAGCATCCCCAAATTCATGCTTTTCCTCCTATTGCCTCCTTTTCACTTTTCTTTGTTTTTGTTTTTGTCTTTTTGAGATAGAGTCTCACAGTACAATTCAGGCTGACCTTGAGTTCACTTTGTACCTCCGGCTGGTCTTGAATTTGCAATAATCCTCCTGCCTCATCCTCCCAAGTCCTGGGATTACAGGTGTGTGCCATCACACCAGGCTTCCTGTCCACTTTTAAATGAACTGCAAGCAGTGTATTTTGATTTCTTTGTTGTTTTGAGTGTTTCCTCAAAAGATGGACTCGTTTATCTTTGTTGAGGCTGTGGAAGAATCACAACAGATGATTACCGGGCCTTTTATTTCTTCCTGGGCTTCCAGTGAGTGGCTCTCCTGACTGCGATCCTCCACAGTTGAGAGAGGCACGAAGCTGAGGTGCTGACAGCTTATGTCAGAATCACATGGTGTTTACTGTGCTGTGCGTTTATAACAGCCTTGTTTCCATACTGACAGCAGATGCCATATGGAGAGGGAGAAATCCTGTCAGATAAACTCTTAAGAAATCACAATATGGTGCAAGAAATCTCATAATGGCTTTTCAGAAGAGGGAGGGCTACCTTCCTCCAATCACACTGTGCACTGGGCTCTCTCCTGTAACTGAATAAATCAGTATTTGACACAGGTAATTTCCTTGGGTTCTGTGTCAGTGCTGGATGTGAAGATTTGCTTTCTTCCCCTTGGGGGCTGGGCTGAGGAGAAGGCAGGGAGCAGTCGGCTGTGCTGCGGGCCTCGTAGAACAGGTGCAGGCTGCAGACCTGCCGTCATAGGCTGCTGAGACCAGGTTCCCCACTAGGGCTGACAATAACACTCATCTACTTTGACATTTTATAACTGTCACTTGGAATTGTCTCTGCTCACCCACACACAGGCCTGCTGCCCTTTCCAACCAGGTAGTCCACCCCCGACCCCCTCAGAGCCTGGCACATGTTGAGGTTAAATGCACGTTGGAAAGGCTATTCAGGGGCCATCTGTGCTTGGAAAGGTGGGGCCTGCTCCCACGCAGCAGGGCAGAGTTACAGCAAAGCCCAGGGTGAGTCTGAATTATCAGATCATGGTGGGGACAGGTCCAAGTAGAGGCTTTGGCAGGTGGTCATCCCTGTGGGTCAGAGCATCCACTTGAGAGAATGCGCCATTTTTAGTCCCCTACATGCAATACTTACAAAATGAGTAACCACAAAATAGTCCCTGTCCTCAGGCAGCGTACCCTGGAAAGGAGTACTGTGAATGCCTCACTGCTCTTTTCATTCTGAGAGATAGCAGTGCCGCTGGGGAAGCAGAAGCAGTGCCCCTGTCAGCTAAGTGGACCTCCAGGCCCAGCCCCAGCCTCAGGGGGAGCACCTCTGGGGGCTCCTCTCTCCTCTCAGCTGCTTTTCATTCATTCTGTGTGGACTCTCCCTGCTTAGAGGGAAAGAGAGCCTGACAGTTCTAATACTTTGTCACCCGAGCTGAGCAAGTCCCTATGCAGGAGGTTATGGCAGAAGCCCGTTGAGACTTAAGGGTCATTCACATGACCTGCTGCACCTCACTGACTAGCACCAAGTCCTGGGTGTCTCCCTTGAACCTATCCTGCAGTCAGGACACAGAGGCCTCCAGTTGGCGATGACTGAGTCACGTGCCCATCCTTGACCTTTCTTTGACTGGGATAGAGAAGGCTCTGCTTGGCTGGGTCAAATCCTGTGCCCATCCTTGGAACCTCTTGTTGTGGCTGGAGGACAGGAGACTGATTGGCTGGGCCTACGTCCCATACCCATCTCCAGGGCTTCAGAGACATCTGCTTCCAGAACCAGAGGGTGCAGGCGGGATTTGTTCAGACAGGGAGGCGTGGTTTCCTAAAAGGGAGATGGCACGGAGCAACACAACCCACAAAGACGACAGTGATAGTGTTTATCAAGCATTTCCTGTGAGCCAGGCTCTGGTCCGAGGGTTTCCTGTGCATTGTCTTATTTAATCCCCGTGGTGTCTCCAGCATCCAGATGAGGAAATTAAAGGGCCATGTCACGTTGGTTGCCTCCGATTATATAGCCAGTAAGTGGTGGGACTTGAAGCCCAGGGCTGTAGCCCCAGAATCCACGCACACCTCCCTGCCTGCAAATCTTGTGGACACCCTCTTTGGGACCTACAAGTGGAAGTGAGCTGGCCGGATGATTGTGCTCAGACATCTTCCTTAGGCCTGTATCTCCAGAAAATGCCACTCTAGGGGACAGTGATCTGGTCCCTCCATACCCAGCAAAGATACTGTCCTTCCGTCCAGCCAAGTCACTGACCTCAAGCTCTATAAAGTTCCAATGCAGCTGCAAAAGGGAAGGCCCAATGTTCAGTGCTTGAGAGGGTTTAAGACAGTGTGTCTTAGTTCTCTGCGATAAAACTTGAGAGACCAGAAAGGGCCTTTGTCTTAACTCCAAACATTTGCTTTTGGTTTTTAGAGAAGGAAACTGAGGCTCAGAGAGAGTGAATGAGGTATTTGAAGTTGCAAAGCAGTTCACGACTAGCACGCCCATCTCTGGACCTTTTGGCGGTCACTCTTGCACTGTTTCTTCTGCAGAGTTGTCTTAGCTGTTGAGTGGCTGTGGATGGGTCATTTCCTGTTTCTGTGAGTCTAGCTTCTCAGCTGAGAAATGCTAGGCTTGAAGCATCCTAAAAACTAGGCTTTGCTCCAGTTGGGTAAAAATTGATCGTTTTTTTTTTTTTTTTAACTGTATTTATTAGGATGCTTTGACTTATAAGCAATTTGAAAATTTTTTGAACTGTTCTAAACAAAGGCAACATGTTGCCTCATAAATAAGCTTTTCAGATGTGGTTTGGGTGCCAGGCATGGTTTGATCCAGAGAACTATGACATCATCAGGGGGCTGGCTCTCCCTGTTCATTTTCCAGCTCTGACCTCCTCCCAGAGTCTCCTTTTTCGGTAAAGGACACTGAAGTGAACCCTGGCCTCATCCACACTCCAGCCTCTAGAAAGAGCACCTCTGCCCTGGCTTCGGCTGTAAAGTCAGTGGTCTTCTGAATGGTGGGCTTAGGTCACATGCCTGCCAGCTTGACCAGTTGGTGGAATGGGGGACTTGCCATACTGATTGGCTGGTCAGGGGACACAGCCATAGTCTCCAGAACCACTGGGCTCTTCATATAGCATCAGGGCTCCACGAAAGTGGAGGGGGTGGGAGTAGATGCTGGGTGATGACTGGGGCCCTCCTGTGCTCTGACCTCATCTCTGTATCTGCAGAGTCTGTGAGGTGCACGGGGCCCTGAGAGGGGGGCCCTCATCATCACCTTGCTCCATGCAGCTGGAGCTCCGTTCACCCAGGGGGAGGCCAGTGGGACAGCCCTACCTGGCCCTCTCCTGTGTCTCACTATATTCTTCTTATCTTGTCTCCAGACAGAGATTACTGCAGTTTATGTGACAAGCAGCCAATTGGGAGGCTGCTTTTCCGACAGTTCTGTGAAACCAGGCCTGGGCTGGAGTGCTACATTCAGTTCCTGGACTCAGTGGTAAGTCCCTGCTCCTGCAGAGCAGCTCTGGGTCCTGGGGAGGGGAGGGAGGAAGAGAGGGGAGGGGAGGGGGAGGGGAGGGGGGAGGGGAGAACAGGCCAATGCTCAAGAAACTGGGATGCTGAGCAACTTTCCTGACAGCCTGAGGTAACTCTGAGGTTCTGTTGCGCTCCCACCGCTGAAAATTCATTTGATAAAGCCCACCCCTGGAATGTCTCTGTTTGCTAGTATACCAGCCTGCGTCTCCACTAGAATCCAGCTCCCAGGTACTAGGCTTCCTGTTCACCCTGACCTAGCAGGGTTCCTGGAAGACACAGGCATCCAGGAAATGTGAGTGGAATAAATGTGTACTGGCTGTTCCCAGCCAGTCTGGTCGATTGGTCACTGGCTCAGGTGGCCCTGTCTGATGCCGCGAGGCTCTCCTGCAGCGATGCATCACCTCATGACACTCATTTGTTCTACCAGTGCTGTGATCTGCATGAGCTGTTAGGACAGGATGCGGAAATAGCCCAAGACTCAGCCCTGCCCAGCAAGGCACAGCCCTCTTGCTGGCCAGCTCCCTCTTGGGTTTCTATCTGAGGGAGGAGAACAGGGTGGAGAGGTGAGAATGGGGCTGGGATCAGGATGCTGTCATTGGTGACAGCCACCCCACCTCTGTAGCAGTTTAAGGGGTGGTCTGTGAGGGCTCAGGTTTTTGTGTCACTTCAGGGTCTTCACATGACTCTCTCTACCCACAGCTGTACTGCCTAGGGGATGTCACCACCAAAGTCACCCAGGCCTCCTTTAGGTCAGTGCATCTAAAACACACTCAGTGCCTTCTCCAGACACCCCCAAAGCTTCCAGTCCTGACTTGTTCCCTCTTCCAGTGACCCTCACTCCACAGTCACCCTGTCACCAGATAGGGACCTCAAGCCTGACTCATGTCATGGAAATAGAATTTAAGGACACATTTTACTACATGGAGTTAGAATGGGAGGGAAAAAAGGGAAGACTCCCAGTTTGAGCCACTGGAAGGGGCTTGCACTGATACGGGCGCTCAGACTGGCCCACTCACAAAGGCAAAAGACAGCGTTTAAGGATTAGCCAAGGTGGTCCTGTTCGGAAGAGGTGATCTGCGCTGGTGGTCTTGGGGCTCTACTTTCCCTTGGACCCAGGTGACCACAGGTTTAGGACAATGGTGGAAGACTTCTAGGCCTCCTACAGGGGAGGCCTGGGACTGGGTGTTACACAAAACTAGCAAATGAGTATCCATGCAAACCTTGAGAGTTCCTTCAGTTACTTCTATCTTGGTGCTGTTAATTGTAAAGGGGTATGAGATAGACGAAGTAAATTTGGGGCTAATAATCTTGTTTTGCCAACTTTTCCTAAATAATTAACATTCTTACATGCAGAGTCTGGCCCAGAATTTTAAATTCAGGAAACAAAACATGTTTCCTTGTCTCCTACCTATCTTTATTTCTTCTCCCCTACCTCACCCAAGCCTGAAGTCTTTGCCCTGCCCCTGACTCTTCCCTCTCCCTCCTCCTTCCCCCAAGATCCAGGACCCTGTGCTCTTTGGCCTCTGGCCAGTTCCCTTTCCAATAAGCTCTTCCTAGGTCCTACACAGGCCCAATGATTACAATAGTTCTCAGCCTTGGCAAAGGATTAGAAACACCCAGGGGGACTTAAAAAGCTACCAGCGCCTGAGCTGAAGCCCAGACTAATGAATTTGGATCTCTAGGGGTGAGGCCTAGTGTTTTTATAACTTTTTATTATGGAAAATTTCAAAACTATAAAAGGTAAAAATTCAACCAAACAGTATAATGAAGCCCCATGTGCCTGTTCCCCCACCTCAACAATCATCAACTCAGAACCAGTGCCGTTTCACCGGGCCCCATCCTTCCCTCAGCAGCATCTTGTAGCAGATCTTAGATCTCATATTATTTCCTTCATGAACTTTCACTGTGTATCTGTAAACAATCAGAGCTCCTAAACAACAAATAACCGCAATACAATGGTACAATAATAATCCTACCTTAATAAAATATTATCAAACATTAGTGTTCACATTTCTGATTTCTTATTTATTTTACAAATTTGTGTTTAAGATTTTGAATGGATCTGGGTGGGGCCTATACATTGTCACCATTTGGTCATTTTGTTGACTCTGGGCCTCCTTTTAATCACCTCCCTCTGTGATGTGTTTGTCATTCTTTGAGTTCCCCAAGTCACTTAATAATTTGTAAGTCACTTAATTGGACCTAGTAACTTGATTAGATTCAGTTTCCATTTTGGGGTGTGTGTGTCTACAGCTGACTTTGTAAGTGGCTTCATGATGTTTTTTTTCCCAGTATACACTAGAGAGGGAAGAGAAAGAAAGGAGAGGGGAGGGAGGGAGAGAAGGAAGAAGGAAAAAGAGGGAGGAGAGCGAGAGGTGGGAGGGAAGTGGAAGGGAGGGAGGAGAGGAGAGGGGAATGGGGGAGAAAAGGAAGGGAAGAGAAGGGAAGGCAAGGGAGGGGAGGGAAGGCAAAAGGAAAAGGAGGGGAGGGGAAGGGAAGAAAAGGAAGATACCAAGTGGTCTTTATGCTTAGTGGTCCTTCCTAGTGTCCCTGTTGGCCAGCAGGAGCTCCTTGGTGGCTGTCTGAGATCTCGTTTGGAGCCCACAGTCTCTGGCAGCCCCTCACTGCCTGATATGGCAATATGTTGGATGTGTCTTGTATAGTTCATTGTTTCACCAAGAAACCCCAGTTCTTCTACCTGGAAAATGGCAGTTGGAGACTTTAGGGTGACACTAGGATTGGTCACTATCCATTAGGTGGGCCATTATCACTAGCAGATACTGGCATTTTTCAAATCTCCCATGACTTTAACGTGCATTTGGGGTGGGGAAGCACCAACACGTAGGATAAAGCCCAGGTTTCACTGCCAGGGCCCTTCCTGCCTTGCCATCTTCAGCCTTCAGGCTCATCCAGAGTCTTTCTGGATCCCCGGTTCTGGCCCTGATATTGCTCATGGGGGCTTTGACTTCCAGACCAGAAGTCTCCTGGAATTTAGGATCCACTAGCGGGCTTTAACAAAACAATGGACAACATAGTCTGACCGATGCTCCTGTGGACTTCTGTGTCGGTTTCAGGCTTTGAAGGCAGGGAGATCTGCAAGGAGGGTGTTGCAGTGATTCGGGTGAGAGTGGGTAGTGTGTTGCAGCTGCACACAAGCAGTGGTGAGAGGTGGTGGACTGGAACTGGGTTTTCCGACCAGCGCGCAGTAGTCCCTGATGGACTGGGAGTGAGAAGAGTTGAGGATGACTTGGGAGCTCTGAGCTGAGCAACTATGTGGACAGAGTAAAGCTGAGATTGTAGGAAGGGCCTGCTGTGAAGATCAGGGTCTTCGTTCGAAGCTCTGAGTTTTTCAGCGCTCCACTGGAAAAGTTCAAGTGGTGACGTTCCAAGGGAGCTGGCTGTCCTTGTCTGGAGCTTGAGAGGAAGCCCTGGGCAGGAGTAGAAAGTTGGGAACTGTCGATGTGGAGCTGAGGTGCAGAACCATGGGCTGAGCGAGCTTGCCGGGACGTGGATACAGATGGAGCTGCAGTAAGGACTGGAGCAGAGTGTGGGACCCAGGGCTGCTCCCCAACTGGAAAGGATGAGGTGGGGCAGCTTTGGTCCTGTGGAAGGAGGGGAGGGGAGGAGAGGGGAGGGGAGGGGAGGGGAGGGGAGGGGAGGAGGCAGGGCAGGTGGGGACTGAGCCAAGGAGCCAGTGGAATTTCCCAGCCACATGTTCTGTTCGGTGCTCATGGCTGTTTGAGAAGGGAAAATAAAGCGCGCTGTGATGGTGCCCGTGCTCATTCTGGTCACGCTGTCCTTTCCTTTCGCTGGGCCTGCACCAGGAACTGTTTATTGGAAAGGAAATGGGAGTCTGTTGCGCGTGTATGTGTGTTGAGCGCTCTTTGCACATGCTGCCATGACACAGCACTGCTCAATGCTTGGGAGAGGCTGACCTGGCCCCTGCACACTTCCATCTCCATCCTGGCGATTAGGGAGGGCTTTGCTTCACCCCTCTTGACGTCAGATGAGCAGCCTTCGCACACCTCTTTTACGCATGCAGATTTTATTGAGTTTTCCTGGACTGGTGTAACTTTCGGTCTGAAATCCATTTTTTCTTCCATTCTAACGGGAACTCTGGAGGAGGGAGGAGGTGGCAGTGTTCCTGGTTGTGTAACCCAGCCCCGGGGGCTCCTGCTCTTGGCCAGTGCATTCGCATCATGCCCACCTCTCTGCTGAATTCCCACCAAGTGGTGTTTCTTAAAAATAACCTGTCTTTGTTGGGCTGTGATATAACCCCAGAAAGGTTTTTCTTCTCATCCTCGTATCTGCATTTTTTAAGTTAAGCAGAAGTGGTGGTTGTTTTTAAGCAGGGTCTGGGTGGCTTTCTGGCAGTAGAGCTGTCTGTAGTGCAGCCTTGAGTCTGGGCTGGCCAGGTTTCTACTGGCCTCCCATGAAGAAGCGAGGACATGCCTAAGTGAAGGCCATGACTAAGTCTGGACTTTCTGGAGGGCAGAGAACGTTTGGCCAGCTGGCTAGGGATCGAAAGGGGCACAGGATATGGTCAGCCCCGTGGCCAAGAGGGTATCCCCACAGGTATCTTCAGGATACATGGGCCTCTCTCTGGCTGTGTCTAGATGCCCCACCCTCAAGCCTCATGCAGTCATGGGAAGTGGGATTTTCAAAGGTAGCTGAATCTAGAGTTTGTGATTGATTCATCGTCCAATGCTGAGATGCGACTAGGTGTGAGTGGTATATCCACCCTAGGGTGGGTAGCCTGTGTATAATGTAAGGTACAGAAAGAGTTTTCCTTTTCCTTGGCTGGTTTGCTTTTGCTTTCTGCAGCCATAAGCTGTTTCTTCTCTGGGCAGCCCGTCTGCCATGCACCCTGCCGTGGAGCCAACCGGTTATGGACTGAAACCTCTACAAACTGGGAGCTACATAAACCTTTCTTCTCTTAATTTTGGGAGTCAGGTATTTTGT